CTGATGTCCTCACAAAAGGGCTTCCATACTCGCGGCACAATGAGTTATGTGACAAGCTGGGCATGATAGACATATTCAGCCCAACTTGAGGGGGAGTGTTGTAAGGCTTATTTAATTGTTACTTTATAGTTGTTGTTAGTATGTTGTCCTCTTAAGATACTGTCAATTAGTTATTTTTCCTTCTTTTTTATTAGTTTGTTTCTAGGGTGTGCCGTCAGGGGCATACTTGTAATTTCTATTCTTTTTATTAAGTTAATATAAATAATGAACTGACGGCAGCCAGAGATAGTTTTTTCTTTTCCTCTCAATCGTATCTTCCTCTCCTTCTCTTTCTCTCTCTCTCGTCTCCCACTCTCCATGAATGATTACAGTCTATATGTAGGATTGTCATACATTAAATTTAGTCACCAAGTGGTGTGTTGACCTAATCTAGCCATGCAGGATATGGTTTCTGGATCAGTATTGGCATACATCATAAGTTCTTCATAGATCAGTCTACTTGTCCCACATGGGCCACATCATTGATGTTTAATATCTGTGCCTGCCAGTTAAAAGAGATCCAGCAAGAAAGGGTCATACAACAAGTATAATGCAGATAAATAAAAGAAGAAAAAAAAACATATTCTGTTTAACAGCACAGGTACAATAGTACACTCAATAAAGTTTCTTACAAGAACATATGCATCAGACTAGAGATAAACATCAGCTATGTAAGTCCCTAGTATAAGTATAGCATGCTCAAGTTCTCCAATATTTCATCTTTATGGAAAGATCTCCTCACACAAACAGATCATAATACATACTGCAAATTTCGCCGGCGAATTGTGGACTCTCCTCCACCTCCTAAAAGAAGTTCCCTCTGTCATCATCCAAATCAAATGTCAGGACTGGGAATAGTCAAGAAGGTAAACAGTAAAAGAAAGAAATGCCCAACATCATCAAAAATCTAATTACAACCCAGAAACCCACAGACTTGGTTTCTAAGCACCATGGATCTATGTTATGAAATTACAAAAGACACCAAATCATCTGTTACAGGAATCCTAAAACTAAATTTCAACAACCTAGCCAAGTTCTATTTCTCAGAAAACTCATCTGCCCAAACCAGGAAAAGGAAAGGTTTTTCCTCTGGGCAAATTTAAGTTATCAACACTGCATAAAGTTGCTGAGAGGAAAAAAGAACACCCAAAATCATGAGGTAAAGAAGTACCCAATTAAATCTCCTAAAGAATAAACTTGCATTTCTACATAGACAAATCTATCAAAAATTCAGATAAAGGAAGTATATTACCTCTGCCTGAGCAGCTTTCCTTACATTGGCCTGTGCTTTCAAATTGGCATTCCTTAGGCCCAAATGCAAACTGATCACACAGGAAAACAAGCATCATGAGAAAGGAAACCAAGTCTTTAACAAGCTTCAACACAAGAGACCCATAATAAAATATTCCCAGATAAATATTTGGAAACAGGTGGAGAAAAAAAACAGAATATTGAAAATATAAAATCCAGGCAGCTCAAAGGTCCAATACTTGAGATTGAGCCTTGCATGAAAGACAGAAGAAGAGGAAGATACGGACCTCTGATATTGAATCTTCCAATATTCTAATGTTGATTGAGCAGATAGTATTTCTTCTTCAGTGGGCAGCTGTGGGGCAAGAAGATCAAGTCTAAACTGAAAAGATCTAAGTAAAGCCAACTCATCCTGTGCAAGGCCATTTAGTCTTGGAAGAGAATTCCCTTTGTTACTACCAGTTCCTGATTTACCATATTCCTCAACTGCTTTAACATGCTTTTGGGCTCGTTCAAATGTCTCGTCCCACTCTTTTTTAACCTTCTCAACAGCCTGTACAACTTCGTCCATGATATCTGATGGCACTGACAGACATTTACCAGGACAGAGAGTTAGCAGAATCTAATGACAACTCCATAAAGATAAAAGTAAATAATTTATAACAGAGGAAAAGTCCACAGACAAGGAACCCTAAAACACTGAACAAATTTCCAAGTCCCAACTACCATAAACCAAAGAAAAGGCATAAACTTGTTCTTCAATGTGAATAACATACATGTGATAGACTATATGTGGTCATCAATCCATATCGTCCAAAATGTCATGCCCTATCTTGGATTGGGCACAAGCAAAAGTGTCCCGTCATTCAGATGATTCTAAACATCAAATTACAAGTTTTTCCTGCCTATTGAAATTAACGATCATGATCACATGGTTATAATCACTATCGGTAGAAGCATGAGACAAACTAGCATTTAGATTTTAAGAGAGAATAGAAAAAAAGACCCGGAAGTTATGTTCATTCAAATTCTCCTTTTTTTTTATCTTTCAAATTTGAGATTCTCCCTTTTCCTATTTCTAGTGAAAGATCCATTAAAATTGGATCATAATTTTACCCAACAAGCATCTACAAGATCTAGAAATAGCAACAACAGGGCGAGGACTATACTCCCATCCCCATCCCCAATCCCCGTCGGCCGATGAGAAAACAGATCCTCCATCCCCGACCCCAATGGAGACGGGTTCCCCCACCAGGGACCCGAATTCAGACTTGTTTTCCAGGTTAAGTAAAATTCCAAGAACACCAAAGCCAAATCAATTTGGTGGTGTTTTATTTAGAACTAGTACAATTATCATATTCAGACTTTTTTTTGGTAAGAGATCAGGTAAAAGAAAAAAGATATATGAGACCTTTAACCTTTAAACTGAACCGTGAGTTTCAATTTGAAACTTATTTTCATTTCTAGTTTTGAGCAAAGCACTTCAAACCCTTTTTTGGGTAAAGCAGATCATTTTTAGTGATACAGCCATGAATCAAAGACAATGTTTTTTTTTTCTCAATTGGTGAATCAAAAGCAAGAATTAAAAATTCAAAGGGCAAACTTTCAAGATGTTACAGCCTTACAGGGGTGCAGAGTAAGGGAAGAAGGGAACCGAAAGAAAGGAATGGAATGGTACCTCTCTCCAATGTAACCGCGTTGATGGTTGTCTTTTTCTTTGTTGAGCGCCCAAAGCTGCAAATGGATTCGGTATTATTTGGGGCGAAACCCTTCTCGCTGTTGAATGAATCTCATTGCGTCTGCATGTCTTTGTGTGAGAGAGAGAGAACTGGTTGCCGGACGCCGCTGTGCTGGACAGACGTAGTAGTCCCGGCAAATCACGAAAGACCCCCGTGTACTAGGGGGAAACCAATATATATGGAATGGTACTATTGAAATTACAATTGGGATCTGCTGCTTACGTAGCGCACCTCACATCGACCTCACAGATACATCCCACCGTGCATTCCGAACATTTCCCAATAATAACAAATAAATACGGGAGATGTTCGAGATAGATGGTAGGCTGTGGCTGTGAGGTCGTGTGAGTAGCATATCTGCACTCTTGAAATTCTGGATTCGGATTTGCTACACATTATTTGTTCACCTCTACTGCCTATAGTCCATTACAGTTGTGCGTATTAGGAATATCTCTCTTGACATTTGATGTTGCGCAATCCGAGCACTCCTAGCTGGTAGCTGACCGGCTCTTAGCTGGCGACGGACGGTACCTGAGATGAAGACGGTGAAGGATTCCTGGGGGACTTGCCCGGTGGGAATACTCCAATGCTTAAGTTAGAACGCTGGAGAAAGTAGTAAAGAGTGCAAAGATGGCTAAGAGTGTAGGTCACGCTAGATCACTGAATGTTCGAGATTAGCTCGAGAGAGAGAGTTCGGATATATTCAAAATGTTCAAGATACTCAAGATACCTTTTCCCCTTCGACCAAGGGGCTCTTAAATATGGGCGTTCTTGTTAAATCGGGCGTAACCGCCACTGGACCTCTGTCGTAGTCGTTATCTACCAGGGTTGCGCAGGTAACCGTTGCAGAGTACTATCCAATCGGATAAGTGACACGTCCCGAAAGGATAGACACACCACCATCTGTCGAGAGACGTGGGCGCAGTCTGTCGGGCTAGCAGGGACTGCACCGTCAGTCAGGAGACGTGGTGCAGTCTGACGGGTACGATCTTGTCAGATAGAAGCTTCCTGAAAACGTCGTGTCGCTTAGTAGCAAGCTATCTCGTAGCGAGCCGCCTTGTAGCGAGCTATTCTATTGCAAGCTACCTTGTAGCGAGCTCCCAGGGGTACTTCGAGGTGATTCCTCTTAAGGTTGCCCTTAGGGTAGTTTTTCTGCCTAAGTGTTGGAGCGAGCTGGTTATCTTAGCTCGCAAGCTGGGATAGACTTATCTTGGAGTATTCCCTTTCAGTACATCGGGGGTCCTCAAGCTCGTGCTGTAGCAAGCTCACCCTATGGCGAGCTGTGACGCAGCGAGCTGTCCTGTGGGCTCGTTACTTAGTCGCGGTTAGGCTGTGGTGCTGAGCTGTTACTTGTGCTGAGTCATGTCATGTGTCACCGTCTCAAGGGGTCGGGCTTGATTAGAACTTGCCTCAGAGGTTTGTTGGTGAGGACGACAACAGTATGAGCTTGGAAGTACGGACAGAGCTTTCGGGCTGCAATAACCAGTGCGTAGGCCAGCTTTTCTATCTGCGTATATCTCATCTCTGCTCCTTGCAACACCTTTCTAACATAGTAGATAGGTCGTTGGACCCGATCTACCTCTTTTATTAGTACCGAGCTGACCACTCCGTCACTTGCTGAGAGGTATAGCTCTAAAACATCGCCCTCCTTGGGCCGGGTTAAGACCGGTATGCTAGCGAGGTACTTTTTGAGCTCGTCAAACGCGAGCTGGCAATCTTGGGTCCATTCAAACCCTTTGCTTTTAATTGCTTTAAAGAAAGGTAGGCAGCGGTCTATCGACTTGGACATGAAGCGGCTCAGAGCAGCTATTCGGCCATTCAGCCTCTGAACCTCCTTCATTTTTCGGGGTGGTCTCATGTCTAGGATGGCCTTTACTTTGTCTAGGTTAGCCTCAATGCCGCGCTGGTTAACGATGTACCCCAGGAACTTACCCGAGGTGACACCAAAGACACACTTATTCGGGTTCAACTTCATGTTAAATCTATGCAGAATTTCAAAAACCGAATGCAAGTCTTGTATTAAATCACGTGAAAATTGGGTTTTGATGACCATGTCGTCTACATAGCATTCTATTTTTCGGCCAATCAATGGCTCAAACAACTTGTTTACAAGTCTTTGAAAGGTTGCCCCGACATTTTTTAGCCCAAAAGGCATGACCTTGTAGTAGTACAGGCCAAACTCGGTTATGAAGGCAGTCTTTTCTTCATCAGCTAGGTCCATCCTGATCTGGTTGTAGCTCGAATAGGCATCTAGAAAGCTAGCAACTCGTGCCCCAAGGTCACGTCCACCAGACGGTCGATCATGGGGAGTGGGAAGTAGTCCTTTGGGCAAGCTCGATTCAGGTCGGTGTAGTCGACGCACATGCGCCATTTATCGTTAGCCTTTTTTACCAGAACTGGGTTGGCCACCCAGCTCGAGTAATGGACTTCCCTGATAAAATTGGCTGCAAGGAGCTTCTCGACCTCCTCGTCGACTGCCCTCCATCGCTCTGGGGCTAGGTTGCGTTTCTTCTGTCTAACGGGCCTAACTACAGGATTAGTATTAAGCTTATGAGTTATAATGCTAGGGTCTATGTCGGGCATTTCTGCCGCAGACCATGCAAAAACATCTAAATTTTCAAGTAAAAAGCGTAACAGTTTATATCGCAGGGGCTCCTCAATGGAAGCGCCGATCTGAAGTGTACGGATTGGGTCCTCCATCAATGCTGGGATGGAGATGGTCTCTTCTATGGGCGCAGCTCGCTCCTCGCTCTGCTCCGTAGGTCGCTCCAGCTCGAGGTCGTCGGCCACCTTGGCTTTCCCTTTGAGGGCGGCGACGTAGCATTTGCGAGACTCAAGCTGGTCACCCCGCGCTATCCCGATTCCGATGTCTGTGGGGAACTTCATGGCCAAGTAGTAAGTGGAGACCACAACTCGTAAGGCATGGGTGATCGGCCGACCTACTATGGCATTATACGGGGAGGGGGTTGCGACCACTAAGAAATCGTGGTTGAGCCTCACTATGCTAGGCCAAGTGTCGACTTCCACAGGTACTATAATCCTTCCCAGGGGCCTGACTTTCTCTCTGCTGAAGCCTACCAGAGGAGTGTTCACGGGCTTCAGGTTGCTCTCTTGGAACTGAAGTTGGTCGAAGGCTGCTTTGAAGAGGATGTCTGCTGAGTTGCCTGAGTCGACAAGGATGCGCCTGACTTCGAAGTCATTGATCTTCATCTTTATGACGAGCGCGTCATCATGGGGGTAGTGGACCCCGCATGCGTCATCTTCTGTGAAGAATAACGGGTCTTCCATCCTTGGCCGCTTCGGGGGGTTCTGTTATTCCCTGTCAGCCTCGCGAGCTGATGCCCGAGCTGCAGCTGAGGTGCAACCCACCACAATCGAACCTCCAACAATCACGTGGATGGTCCCCCGAACTGGTCTTTCTTCGGGGGGTTGCTTCTGCGGCTGTTCTGCCTGTCTGCTGAACTCGGGAGCATCTCTACTCTGCTCCCCTTACCGACCTGCTTTATTACTATTATTATTTTGTACAAAATTTCTCAGATATCCGCAATGGATGAGTTCTTCTATCTCGTCGCGAAGGTTTTTACAATTCTCGATGCTGTGACCGTGGTCTTTATGAAAGCTACAATACAAATTTTTATTTCTTACATTAGGGTCTGCCTTCAGTCGGGATGGCCACCTCACATACGGGGCGTTCTTGATTGCCATGAGGATCTCGGCCCGCTTCGCGTTGAGGGGCGTGTAGTCCATTTCTGCTGCTAGAGCTCAGAAAGGCTGATTTGGCTTTGCCCCCCCAGCTTGGTCCTTTTTCTTCTTGCTGTCGCCCTGAGTTGGGGGCTCTAGTTCCCTCTTTCTTTTCTCGAGGGCCTGCTCGCCCTTCTGGTTGATCTCTTCCTCCATCCCTATAAACTAATCCGCGAGCTTGAGAAACTCGGTCATGGTCTTAGGCTGATTGACAACCACGTGCCACTTGAATTCTTTATGGGTAATACTTCGCTTGGCTGCTGTGAGACGAACTGCGGGGTCCAGATCGGGTATTTGTAAACAAGCGTCATTGAACCGCTTGATGTAACTCCGAATGGACTCCCCTTCCTTTTGAACTATGTCGATGAGGCTTTCTTGAGTTCTTGGGCACCTCTTGCTGGTGACAAAGTGGGAGGTGAAAACTTGCACGAACTGCGCCCAACTTCTTATCAATCTGGGCACGATGTTTCGATAACAAGTGCAGGTTACCCCTTTGAAGGTGGTGGAGAAGGTCATGCACATACAGGAGTCACTAGCTCTTGCCAGGACTGAAAAGCGTCCACATGATCGTTCGGATCGAAGGATCCATCATACTTATCCAGGGGAGGGAGCTTGAAGTCCCTTGGCATGGGGACAGCAAGAAGTTCTGGCGACAGTGGGGAAGGAACTGAAAGGAGAGGAGTAGCTTTTACTTCATCTAAGCTTACCTCCTCCTTACCTCTGAGCTCGGGCAAGATGCGAGTAGCAGTTCGGCGAGCTCGTCAGCGTCTCCGCTGCTGCTTCATCGGCTCGGCGTTGGTGCTGCTTGCTTCAGTATTACCGAGCTCGATGGGCTCGGACTGCTGATGGTAGCTCTGAACCGAAGGGCCCTGCCTGTAGTCTGCGGCTAGGACCTCGAACGGGTTTTCTGCGAGCGGGAGCTCGAACTGAGAGTGCTGGGGCGATGCGGGTTTGACCGGCTGGGAGGCCCCCGACTTGCCCACAGGCTGCGAGGTGAGGGTGGATGGCCTCTCCTTTCTACCCTGGGAAGAGGCTTGGCTCTTGGAAGGATCCTGGGCCTGAGAGGCTTCTCCTCGGCGAGGTCGTTCGCTCCAGGGGGAGGGCTTGGTTTGCTTCGTTGCCGGGTGCCGAGGGGGAAGCGACTGCTGAGCCTGAAGCAAGGAAGGGAACTGCTGCTGGTACTGGTACTGAGAGACCTGATGCAGTACTTGTTGCTGGTAGAGTTGGAACTGCGGGAACTGCTGCATTTGAGCTTGCATGGCTCGCATGCACTGCACTAAGTCTTCCAACTGGTTTCGGTTGGTCACTGGGGGCACAACCGAAGGTTCAGCAAAGGTCGCTCCAACCGTGGAAGGGAGTGGAGCGTTCACGGGTGCCACTGTGAGAGGCACGTTCAAGCTG